CCATAGACCAAAACAACTTATATCCATCTACCTAAATGGACAACAAACCAGAATTTTCCACGGACAATAAATCGACTACATGTTGGTGAAGTCCTAAATCGACTACATGTTGGTGAAGTCCTATATCTAACCAGTTACCATGCTATAAAACTACCAAACTACACTGTAAACTAGTTCAATAACTTTAAGTAGACAATTTCAAAGGCAGGCACTACTCTTATCATTGCTAACCTCCATATAAAATGAGAAACAGGACACAAATGTATAAAGTTTAAACTATGAAAAAGACAAACAAGAACAGCCGACACTGCATATTTCCCCAATAAAAGGTAAGTAATAAGCTGAAGCCTATTTCTAGTTTCATCTCCAAATTGATCGTCTTGCCCACGGATTATGCAAAGTGCATCAGTAACAATTTAAACGAGCATGCAAAGAGGTTATCAGCAAAAAATGTATGTATAACCTAACAAATGAAAAAGAATAAAGAGGTTCTAAATATGATGCCCGGATCATCAGCTCATCGACAAAAATAGAGCAGCATAGGAAGAATGTACTTTTGTTTTCCAAAAGTCCCACAGTAATTAGAAAATCATGCATAAGTCGTTTATTACTGTGCCTCAAAAGGAGTTCTTACCTCTCAAAACACATCCATACCAAATAGAAGACCCTCTTCCCACTTGAACATCGCCAATGATGGAGGCACTTGGGGCCACAAATACATCCTTGTCAACCACAGGAGCTTTATCGAATATGTTCATCAGAGTCCGATGCCGAGACACTACAGGAAAGAACATAATCACTACCCTCTTGCATGGAAAAAAGAAAGCAAAACCAGAGAACCCTGAATCTTACATGTAAACAAACGAAGGACATGTTATGCTACAACATATTAGCTTTTCAAAATAGGTGACCTAAACTACCGATGCAGATTATAAATTTGTCCATTTTCATTCTTTTAGTTCCTCCCCTTTCTTGATTTTACAAAAATGATAAATATTTCACGATTCCACGAATGCCCATTTAACTAATTTTTAGATTAATACTCGCTTGATAGTAATCCACTAGTGGGCAGTGACACACATTCTTACATTTAAGACAATATCCGTAACCGACCAACAATAGTCCAGGAACTAGAAGGAAATTGGCAATGTAAAACAATCAGGTAAAACTGAAAGCAAAGCCATAGACTTTATACTAATTCTACAGCTGCGATGTTTAAATCAACCCGAAAAGAGAACCAAACAGACCATAAATTAGTAAAGAAAAATTCAATCCGAAATTCAAAGGTTAACATAAAAGATGGATCTAGGGTTAGGGAAAGGCGAGACGTACGCTGCTCTTTGAAGTAGTAGCTGCCTTGGAGGCGGCTGCCGAGGCGATCAACTGCCTGACCTGCCTCCCTAATCCAGAATCCGACGGTGTATATTGCTCTTCCTAAAGTCCCCATCTTCTTGTCACTTCCACCAGCTACCAACAGCTCCACTCACTGCCACTCTCTCTGAGTCTCTGTGTATGTCTGAAGTTAAGCAGGCCGGAGAAACAAGGAAATGGCCAAATTGGAAGGGGTAGGGTAGAATATCCCGAAGCCTTGGGAGGGTAGAATGGGATTTTCATACTCCCAGTTTTGAAATTACTAAAACATCCCCGCGTTTCCATTTAATTAGCCGCTAAACCAAATGGCCTTTCAAAGACGCGGTTAATGAGTAAGGCACGAAGCGGTTAATGAGTCGGGCACTATGCGGTGCGTTTCGGCGCCTTTAACCGCGCGGGCGCAATTGGAGACTGCGTGCGAGGTTCTTCCCCTTCCTGGTTTTGCTCCGTTTCTGGAAAAACAGAAACAGATAAACACGAACAAATCGCTTTGTCCTCAACTAGTTAATAAGTTTAGAAATTTACACAGATCCGCTTAGAATTTAGATATAAAAAGTAGATTCTCTCATCTGGTACTTCGCTTTTCTTCGAGGTAAAGCTGTCTTCTATCTCTCCCTCCCTCGAATTTCGACATAATAATCAAACCTACCTTTGTAATCTCTTTTATTTTCTATGAAGAAATCGTCTTTTGTGATTAGAAAAATGTTTGATCACAGAATGGGTTTGAGATATTAGTTAGGGTTTTGTTTTCCGAATTAATTATGTTCCAGAAATTATTTATTTACTTGGGAGCTGGGTGAGATTTTCCATTAATATATGCGTGAGTTGAACTGTTTGGCCTTGCAATCAATCTGGTTTTTGCGTACACAATTGATTTTTAGAAACCAGACCAAGTGTAATCTTTTAAATTAAACTATTGCTTCGTTTGGATTCTCAGGAAATTAGAGGGTAATATTTCATGGAAGGAGTGGGGGTTGATGCTGGCTCTGCTGTGGCGCCGTTTGCCAAGTGGAGAGACGAGTTTTCAAGGACATTTCAGTACTATTTGGACCGTTCGACTCCTAACCCTGTCCATAGGTGGCTGGGGACTCTTGCTGTAGCAGCCATTTATGTGCTCCGAGTTTTCTATGTTCAAGGGTTTTACATTGTGTCATACGGCCTGGGAATCTATATCTTGAATCTATTGATTGGGTTTCTCTCACCAAAGGTTGATCCAGAGCTTGAAGCCTTGGATGGGGCTTCACTGCCAACAAGAGGTTCAGATGAGTTTAAGCCATTCATCCGCCGGCTACCCGAGTTCAAGTTCTGGTAATTGAAGAACTTCCCTTGTCAAAGCTAATATATAAGGAATTGTCTTACTTCCCTTTTTGCACTGGTGTTTTTTTTTTTTTTTGGGGTATGATCTAAAGTGGGTGTTATAGCTAATTTAAAATGTTTGGTTACTTATGTGTACGTATTTAAAAAGTGTTTACTTATATAGAATGGAAGAAGTGTGAACTTAGTAGGAAGCCTGATAAGTCAACGTGATCGTTTACATTCAGTTGATTGCACCTCAGGAACAACAGAATGACCAAATATATTTTGTGGGTTAAGGCATGGAATGACTTCAGTAGTGAAGATGGTTCTTTGTTGATTTGAGGATAGTCATTGCACAAACACATTGTTTGCTGTGCAGTGTGCGCATACATGTATGCAACTAAAGTGTGCGTGTATGTGTTTGTTGGTATGTGTTTGGTGGGTTTTTACGGCTACTAATAGAGAATCGAGGATTTATTCTTTTGCTTATGTGGTTTCAGGTATTCCATTACAAAGGCTTTCTGTGTGGCATTTCTGATGACCTTCTTTTCCATATTTGATGTCCCTGTTTTCTGGCCTATTCTCCTCTGTTATTGGATTGTTCTTTTTGTTCTTACAATGAAGCGCCAAATTCTGCACATGATTAAGTACAAATATATACCATTCAGCATTGGGAAGCAGGTGAGAGCTCTAGAATGTTGAACAGCCACCATTACCCGTTGATCACCTAAACCATCTCCTCCCCTCCGCCGACGCCTTTTGAAACGAAATTTGTGGTTGAAATTTTTATTTTTTATTTGAGAGTTTCTGTAAGTGCAACATATTTACTTGTTCCCTTTGGTGGTTCTTACAGAGGTATACAGGGAAGAAGCCTGCTACAAGTAGTGGTGGTTCAGACTGAAACTTGGTGGTACCAACTTTTAGGAAAAGTGAACGAGAGAAGTGCAGTGTTCAAGTGTTTCTAGTTTTTCTGAACACTTTCCATGTTAACACTCAGGAATATCCATAGATATGTTGAATTTTGCTTACTATTAGGATTAATGTGCAGTGGCAACTTATCTTGCATAAATATATATTCTCACTCTTCATGAATCTGTGTTTTCGTGATATTTTCCTGTATTTTCGTTCTTCTTCTGCTTTACTTGCTGACGAAACCACTTGATAAAAAATTCCCAGTTGAGATGCCAGATGGTCTAGATGTCCAAATCATACACCTAATTGGTATAACAACCCTCCAACAACTGAACAACGAAATCACAAGTGCAAGTGTAGTTGTTAATTTGTTATTACTTGACTTTGTTTTATCAAACAATTCATGTGAAAATAAGTTTTGTATTTTATAATCTCAAAATTATTTGGGCATGGCCAGCTAATGAGTTCAGGTCTTCCCCCCTTCTCTCTCTCTCTCTCTCTCTCTCTCTCTCTCTCTCTCTCTCTCTCTCTCTCTCTCTCTCTCTCTCTCTCTCTCTCTCTCTCTCTCTCTCTCTCTCTCTCCATTAAAACCCTCAGACCATAATATTTGCCTCCCACCAAACGGGCAACAAATGAGTGGGCGAACCTACGTTGTGATATTCTTCTTCTGGGCTGTCCTCACTCTCATCACCCCCACACTCATTTTCCTCTCAGAGACTTCAAAACCCTACTTGGATTCACCGTGTTGTTGTGCTGTGATTTCTTGACACTTTGAAATTATTGTAACCTCTTCTCTTCTGCTATGTTTGGCAGGTGAGAAAACTGAAGGAAGCAAGGCTAGAAGAATGATAGAAATCATCGCAACGAATGAAACTACTAGTATAAAGCGATACACAGGCACCATATAAAAACACAGTGGTCCAAGAAATTACAAGATTTTTCTTCGGTCAATGGAAGAGAAAACTAAAAAAAACTCAATTTCTAAACCTGTTGAGTTTATTAAAAAAAGGCTTTACAAACAAGTTTGTACAAATCTAGAATATTAGAACCTTGTAAAAATATAAAGAGAAAAGGCCCCAAGAAGACCTAGAGGGGCTGCACTCACTCGAGGAGAACCACTACTCCGTTCCACATCATTATTCGACCCCTCTATGATGAGCCATGCAGCGGAAGCGGGAGCCTGCTCTGGGCTATTTCTCCCATTCTCCTTCTCTTTGTTTCCCTCTCCTTCTCCTTCTCCTCCAATGGGAGGAGGCGTGGCAGTGAGAGATGGAGGTGGAGTGCCTTCTCCTCCAATGGGAGGAGGCGTAGCAGTGAGAGATGGAGGTGGAGTGCCTTCTCCTCCAATGGGAGGGGGCGTGGCAGTGAGAACTAGAGGTGGAGTGCCATCTCCTCCAATGGGAGGAGGCATGGCAGTGAGAGATGGAGGTGGAGTGCCTTCTCCTCCAATGGGAGGGGGCGTGGCAGTGAGAACTATAGGTGGAGCGGCTTCTCCTCCAATGGGAGGGGGCGGGGCAGTGAGAGCTCGAGGTGGAGCGGCTTCTCCTCCAATGGGAGCGGGCGTGGTAGTGAGAGCTCGAGGTGGAGCGCCTTGTCTATTTCTCTCATTCTCCTTCGCTTTGTTTCCTTCTCTTCCAATGGGAGTGGCGGATGCTCCATGTTGCTGTCCTCCACCTCCTCCGCTGCCGGGACGAACCATAGTGGGAGCTACATGTTGCCCTCTTCCTCCGTCACGACCAAGAATCGTACGCCGAAGGGCACTAGCCTGAGCCATGAAGGGTGCAAATTCTCTGGTGGTAAGCTTGTGTGCCCAATTAACTCTTTGGGTTGTCACGGCTCCCGGTCCAAAACAGTTGTATTCCCCATAGAAAACCTTACTGCATGAGCACGTACACATCAAATTAAAACCAAATTACAAAACCGATCAAAGATTAAAATAAAATAGAGTAATTAAAAAATTAAGCACTCAAAAATATATACCTTAAGTCGTAGGGTGATAGCCGCCAACTGTCCCAACCTTGTGGCAGAATTACATTTGACATTTGAGTGTAGGCAAATACGACTCTGGCATATGGTCCCCACGGCCTTCCCAGGAGTGCCGTTTTGACGCCGGTTATGTTGCACCACAAAAAGGTGAACCCAGATTCCTCTAAGGGAGAAGTCCGCCGTTGGGCCGTTATAGCGCCGTTTTGACCCGAAAGTGTATGCAAGTGACAATTCTGCAAATGAATCAATTAGTTAATCTCCATATATACTAATTAATATTTAATTCAGAATGAATACGTAGATGAATACCTCATATAAAGAATCAGCGCTTCCAAATATAAAATCAGTGTCTCCTTGAATGTAGCAGTCTTTGTAGTAGTGCTTGCCAATCTCATCGAACAAGGCATCTTGATGAGACAAAATTCTGCACCCATAGAATGCTGCTCTGTCTCCTGATACTCTTAGTGCCACTGTTTTGTCACCGGTTCCATATGTATTCTACACTCACCAATTCAAATTAAGTAAAATTAATTATGTGTTCAAACAATATATATATATATATATATATAAAATTCGTATTCTATAAAATCAAGACTCTATATATATACCTGAATTGTGAGTTGGCGCCCTCTGAAATCAGAAGCCCACACAGTGAAGACTGAGGTTTGATTTATCCATCCTGCTTGGTTCCATGTTATTATGGTATGCTCTGTGTTTGTGCCACTCATTGTTATAAAGGGTTTGTCTACAGGCACATTAACTTTTTCTTGGTAGACACCAGGTCGAACCCAAATAGACACACGAGCGGCATTGTTAGACGGCACGGCATCAATGGCGTCTTGTATTTTAGTGTAGTCACCATTGCCGGACTGATCTACGGTTAGAGAAATTGGTGGGGTTGGGTGTGCTTGAGAGAGCACACCCGTCACCATAAAAGCATAGAACAAGAAGAAGAGCATGGCAGAAGAGAGCTTGATACCACTAGTCATATAAGTCGAATAATAATAATACGTAGGATTTTGCACGTCCTAGGTAAGGAATATATAGAGTTGCTATCCATGCAGGGCTAGGAGTTCAAGTAGCTAAAGCTTTGGCCAAGTTACTCCTTTCAACTCCCTTATGGATTTAGGAAAAGTTTCCACGCAGAGCTAAGAGTTTAAACAATGAATATTTTTCCTCTTTTAATTGGGATTCAGAAACAGATAAACACGAACAAATCGCTTCGATCTCAACTAGTAAATGAGTTTAGAAATTTGCACAGATCCGCTTAGAATTTAGATATGAAACCTACCTTTGTAATCTGTTTTATTTTCCATAACAAAAATCGTCTTTTGTGATTAGCAGAATGTTTGATCGTCTTTTGTCAAAGCTAGTCCTATATTATATAGGAATTGTTTTACTTCCTTTTTTGCTCTCGGGTTTTTATTTTGGGTATGATCTAAAGTAAGAACAGAGTGACCAAATATATTGTGTGGGGAAAGGCAAAGGCATGGCCGCATGATAGAGCTGAATGGAAAATAACTTGAGTAGTGAAGATGGTTCTTTGTTGATTTGAGAATAGTCAGTCACAAACACATTGTTTGTTGTGCAGTGTGCAGATGCATATATGAACTAAAGTGCGCTTGTATCTGTACACGGAAGAAGCCTGCCGCAACAGACTGAAACTAGGTGGTACCAGCTTTTAGGAAAAGTGCAGTGTTCAAATGTTTTAAGTTTTTGTGAACACTTTCCATGTTACCAAGAATATTATAACACCACCTTTAATAATGTGATATAATTAAAAACATGATTTCCAAGCAAGTTACTTAAAATATAAGTAATGATTTATTCATGAAAGAAAGAAATAATAAATAAAAAGATATAGAAAATTTGGCATAAGTCCAATTATGAGGAGAGATATTGGGTGCAATCCACGCAGAAATTGTTGTTGATCCAAGTCCTTTGACTTTTGCGCCACATAAGATTACATGCATTTTTCAATTTATTGATATTTAGTTTTATTTCTTTTTTATTTTTTGTTCCAGTTATGCACCTAAAACATAAATAAGGTAAATTATGAATTCGTAAAACTGGTAAGTTATTGATTTGTAGAACATTAATTATCATATTTGATTTGAATTTAATTGCAAATCTATTTATTGAATTCTGAAATTTTCCCAAGGTATACTAACATCAGAATTTGTAATAAGAGTTTATAAAAACTTCATACCTTAACAATAGGTAAGGTACCTATGCATACACCTCATATGCAGTATGCAGGTAATTAAACCCATAAATTACCTCTGGTCCAGGTAATTAAATCCATAAAGTACCTCTAGTCTAAGTAGTTATACGGTTATACCCTCTAGCCCAGGTAATTGAACTCATATAATATCTTGGTATGGATCTTTAAACTCAATTGAGATAAAAATCCATACAAAATTTCTTTGGAAAAAAAAAAAACACTATTACATGGAAGACATGTACGTATGTATATAAATATGAAGCTCTAGAAAAAATTGCTTAAGAAAACCCAAGAAAAAAACACTTACCTGTAAGGCAGGTACATATATATACAAGGAAAATGCATTATATATATATATATATATAAGGAAATGCATACACATACACATATATATAAGGAAACACTGAATTTTAGGAATGTTTTCATAAAATTCCATTTATGATAGTGGCATATCTTGTAAATTTTTAAAAAATTATGGACATACTAATTGCTTAATTGGTGAGACTGGACTGCAATTAAAAAGAGAGAGCATGTGGACTACATCCATTATATCTTGATGAAAATGGACCTATATCTAAGAAGCCCTAAAAGATATTGCAAAATATGCCTTAATGAGATGCACTCCTAAATGGATTCTAATTTATTAAAATCAAGGAAGATAAGGGGAATAAAATCATATTAGATTCCAAAAAAGGTTCTTATTATGAGTGCATAAAAAATGACATGTCTTACCCTTCAAATCAAATGTCGCATACGTGTTAAGTCACAATTCTGGAATTTCGGGATTGCTGAGCTGTTTCCATCCTGCAGTTTCTGGAAATCAGGTACAACAATTTTGCTTCAACCATCTAGCTAAATGACACTTCCAAACCTATACTAAGTTCTAGGAAATGCCAACACAATTTCATACTAACAGTTAACACTCGGCAAAGTTCGTTGACATGTTGAATTTTGCTTACTAATACTAATAGGATTTAATGTGTTGTCGTGATATTTTCCTGTATTTTCATTCTTCTTCTGCTTTGCTTGCTGACGAAACAAAATTCGGGTGATCTATTCTAGCAGACCCCTCTTTTTATTACAGAAAAATGTTTGCAATTGAGAATTTTACATGAGCTATAGTGAATGGCGATTCTGAGCATATATTATTATCATGGTATTAAATGGAGGTTGTAAGCAAGGGGGTTGTGCTTGTGATTAGGAAAATCATTTCCAGGTGGGTTGTGGGAGATTCTGACTACTTAGGCTTTGAGATGCCAGATAGATGTCCAATTCATACACCTAATTGGTGTAACAACCCTCCAACAACTGAACAACGAAATCACAAGTGCAAGTGTAGTTGTTAATTTGTTCTGACTTGACTTTGTTTTATCAAACAATTCATGTGAAAATAAGTTTTGTATTTTATAATCTCAAAATTATTTGGGCATGGCCAGCTAATGATTTCGGGTCTTCTCCCCTCCTCTTGTCTTTCTCTCTCTCCCTCTCTCTTCCTCTTTCTGACTTCCAATCATTCCATTAAAACCCTCAAAACATAATATTTTCCTCCCACTAAACCACCAGCTTTTCCTCCACCCCAAACGGGCAACAAATGAGTGGGAGAACCTACGTTGTGATATTCTTCTTCTGGGCTGCCCTCACTCTCATCACCCCCACACTCATTTTCCTCTCAGAGACTTCAAAACCCTACTTGGATTCAAATGGTAAGATATAGTGCCAGAGATGGAAAATTTTGTTTTATTGTTGTAGTTGTGCTCTGATTTCTTGACACTTTGAAATGATTTTTGTAACCTCTTTCTCTTCTGCTTCATGTTTGGCAGGTGAGAAAATTGAAGGAATCAAGGCTAGAAGAATGATAGAAATCATGAGATATCAAAGAAGCAGAGCACCCACAGAAGCACCTGCACCAACTCCAACTTCAGACCTGAAACCAGCTTTGGAGACTAGAGAAACCAATCTTGGAAAGGGCTTGTTAGAATCTTTGAGATTGGTGATCAAAAATACCAAGTTCAAGTTAACGTGAGTGCATCATACTAAATGTCCAAACTATACAAAATTCAAGACCAGAGTATTTTTAGTTTAGATTTTTCTTGATGCATGAAAGCTGCTTCCGAGACAGAGCTCATGACTTTTCGGTTTGAGGATCTCCGGTTATCTTCCGGAGAAACAATGTAAATGTGACATGTGAATGCAAGAAAAAAAAAGTGCACTGGTTTTTCAAGTATAATGTTGTTTATTTCGTTTTCTGGGATGTTAGGTTGTACAAGGAAAATTAAAGCCCCGGAGAAACAATGTAAATGTGACATGTCAATGCAAGGAAAAAAAGTGCACTGGTTTTTCAAGTATAATGTTGTTTATTTCGTTTTCTGGGATGTTAGGTTGTACAAGGAAAATTAAAGCATAATTTAGCTGACCAAACAACATTGGTGATGTGAGCAAAGACATTGAATAATGGATGTTTTTGTCATTGTGTAAGTTGGGAGTTCCTGACACTGGGGCTGTCTCCTAAGCAAGACAAAAGGCTCAATTAATTGTGTTGGTACTTGGTATCATAATTTGCTGCAATTCGAACTACCAAATGTAAATAGGCTTCTAATATAAGGGATAGTGCAGTAATGAAAATGCGACCACCCATGCCACAACCATCTCTGTGCTTGTGATTGGTGTTCTGTTCTGTGTCCAAGTCACGGTGTTCCGGTCGGTTTCATCGAAAAATTGCAATGACGGTGCTTGGCATCTCTCAAAAAACCAGAACCAACCACAAATGTAAATGCATAAAACACTTTGTTGATGTAGAAGTAGATTTATGTTTCATCACAAACAAACTCCATCCAGGTTCGTGTTGATATTAAGAAGACAGGAAACTCGTACGGCACAAACACTTTCTATTTCGCTCAAACAACAATCACGTACTTAAAATTAAATTATTATTGTTCTGAGATAATTCAGTAAACAGCTTAGCAGCAGTGTCTTAGTAGTTTCTAAACAAATTGGTCGAGGTAGTCTTCCACAGGGGTGTACTTGACATCAGGGTACAGATCAGAAGCCTCCACTCCGAACGATGGCTCGATCTCGAAGTTGGTATGATCTCCCTTCACGAACACTGAGTGGTTGATTGCTAATATCACATTGATTGGAATTGGGGCCTCTGCAACAATATTTAATCACAGATTAACTAACACCAATGGCAGCAAACTTTTCATTGTTTTCAAACATTGCCTTAAATTACTGACCTTGGATGTCCTGGAGAAGCTTGTCCTCTGGAACATAGACCTTTTCAAGGACTTTGCCAATCTTCTTCTCCCACAAGGCAACAAGCTCATTGAATGAGTAAATGTTTCCGGGTGGCTTGATGTAGACAATCTTGTTCAATGTTCTTGGGTCATCAACGGCCCTGATGGTATAAGTTCCAATGTCCTCTTCCTTGTTGAAGACAGCTGCAGCAACAAAAACAAAAATTAGAAAGAAAATTAAATGAGAGAAAGAGTGTCAAAATTTGTGAATGCAATTGGAATTTGAGATAATCACCCTTTGGATTTCCATCCCCTAAGATAATGACTTTGTCTCTGGGTGGAGAACTGACGCCTGGCTGTGCCAAAGTGGGCAGAAAATAGCCAGCAAAGCAGTTGCTGGACACGTAAGTGTAGGGGATGCCCTCCGCCTCTATGGCACGCCGGATTTGGGCTTTGGTTGCAAATGCAGACTTAGCTGGCTCCACTGCATGCACACGGTCCACATCGTTTCCAAACTCCGACGGAAAAAATCTCTGCATAAAAAAAACATATATATTTATCAATCAAATTCTAATTAAATCAACCGGCATTCAAACTTGAATGCAAATGGACGGACTCATTGTCTTGACTAACTAATGTAAGGCATATGTGAGAGCATTGAGTAGTTGCAATTAGAATTTAGAGGCAGGCACCAACCAACCTTGACATTTCCAGCTTCTTTAATGGCAGCAATGATCTTGGTCTGGTCAGCAAGTACCAAGTGACCTACAGTTGATATCACCACGTCCACCTGTTTGATCGCCTTCACCAAGCTCTCATGGTCATAAAGATCCCCCTGCACACAAATTCCACAACAAACTCAGCTATGAAATTAGTTACCATATATAATTAAGTGACTAAACATAATTAAGCACAAACATAGAGTGATGTATAAAATAATATAAACGTACGTAGAGCAGAGTGACACCCAAGTTGTTGAAATTGCGAATGAGGGTGGACTTGGCAGGGTCGTTGGCCGTGGCCTCTCTGACAAGGGCAAAGGTTGGATGGCCAGCCTTTGCGCTGGCTTCAACAATGAACTTGCCAATGTAGCCTGTGCCTCCAATGATCAAAACCTTGCTCTTCTCAGCCATTGCAAATTAGAATGATCAAATTCTTCTTCTTCTTCTTCTTCTTCTTCTTTTATAAAATTTTGTGTTTTCAAGTTATGATCTAAACAGAGGCTGCGCATGAGCAGAATTTATGGAGGAAATTATATAATAACCTATCATGCTTTCTAGGTGGAAGTCGTACGGTGGGAGTGACTGTTCACCACTTTTTTAATTCGACTTTGGGAGAATTATTATCCTCCCCCACCATCAACTACTTTGGTTGAGATATCCATGTCCTCTATAATTTTTCTTCATTTAGAAGCCAACAATGCTACGTGAAAAGTCATCATTACCCACTTATATCTGTTCAAAATGGGGGTTGGTGGAGGGCAAAACCTGGACTCTTTCCATTTTATCATTCTAGAATGAATCCTGCCGGTAACATGGTAAACGTTCATAATTTTTTTATTAATAGGGATTGAATTAAATTATCATTGTGTAAAATAGGACCCAGCTCCTTTTTTGGAGTGATATTTTTATTCAATAAAGATCACAATTTTTATCATACCACTTGCAAATGATTATAGTGTGAAGGCTAAGAATGCCTTGATGATCATGTTTGTTTGCATTCAACTACTTACAAAACAATCATTTCTTTGATAAATAAAAAAAAAAGACCTTCAAGCTCACTCAAACCAAATAATGTAAGAGTATATCCAACCGGCAGCCTAGTTCAGGCAAAAGGTCTGTTGGGCCTCAAAAATCATTTACAACGCCGCAATCCAGCATAAATAGGACGAGAGAGAGATTCAAACACAGAAGCTCTAATTAATAACACATTGCATAAATATGAAGTTCTTAACGGAAAGCAAATTCCAGAAAAACACAACAATAAAAGAACTAAATAAAACACAGCTTACATGAAAGTATCATCTCAAAATTTGTACAAGCCATAGAAACACTCAACCGACCAACCGTGACAAGTTGACAACAAACAAACTCATATCTCATATACGAAAAAAGAAAAAGAAAAAAGGTGACGGATCAAAGCTAGTGGCATAGGAGCCCATGAATAATATGGGCTTGCAGACTTGAGCCTGGTAGGAACAGATCAAGTAGTAATTTGGTCGGAAGTGTCTGATTTGGGGGCCCAGTTGGGTACGTGGAACTGTGAAGCGTACGTGTTGGAAGTGCCTTCCAACAGAGGGGGTTCATTCAGAAATGCCCAATTGCTTAAAGTCCACCTGTACTACCATCACCATGGAAGGAAGGAAGCATAAAATTACTAATTGTTCTTTAATTAAATAATTGGGTGGGTTAAGAAGTTGATGAGCTTACCAGCCATTGTTGTTTCTGATTTTGCGAGCCTTTGTTTCATCAATATCTGTCTCCTTAGTTTTGGCTACAGGAAAAGAGTTTGATTTCTGTAATTTTCTTCCCGATTCAGCATCAGCTTTGATTTCCTGTATATGTAATCATGCATGAGTAAGCACCCAGCTTTTTGTTATCTATTTTTACACAAAAAAGAAAAGAAAAAAGAAGCGAAAATTGACATAAACCTGAATAGTGGTGGTATGATGTAATTCATTGTTGGCTCTCCAGTAAGCTTCAATCTCGTCCTTGGTGAGTGATTGATTCCTCTTGCACACATCTGAAGAAACAGAAATATAAATAGAAATAGAAATAGAAATAGAAAGAAAGCTTGAGTGAATGAATTGAAAAACACAATACATATACCATGGATTAATTCAAAATTAAGTTAATTACAAATTGAGATTACCTGGTTTGGAATTTAGAACGGGTGAGTCCCATCCTGCCATGAGTGAACCCATGGATGATATATATTTATTTCCTCCGATTGCTTTAAAACTAAACACAAATGACTTTCTACTCTTCTTCCTGTGAATAATCAGCACTTCCTCACTTGCTGTAAATTAATTTATTCACAAATTAGTCTTATATATACAGAAACAAAATGTGTATGTGACTTGAGACTTTGAAGGTGACTGCAGCTGTCTTGCTCATGGTTGGGACCATGTATATCTTTTACTCTGTTCTTATCCCCAAGAAAATGAATATTTTGGTATCAGCTTAGCTAGACGCCAATTGATGTACAGCATCAGCCCACAGTTTCGCATATAATAAAGGCGTCCCGTCACTATTTTTTGAAGATTGAGCAAGATTAATCCTATTTCCCTTTCTTTTTTTTCTTTTTTTTGTATGTGTCGGTATGGTCATTTCTAATTTCGGAGTTTGGATGGAATAAATAACATATATATCCATTCAAATTCCAACCCAATCCAAGGGGACAGAAAAATAAAGAAAAAGAAAAAGAAAAGTTGGCAATTTTTTATTTCTTTCAATAAAACAAACAGGACGCTCATGTAAGGAAAATACTTGCCTCCTTTCTTGAAAGTAGGAACTCCTATTTTCTTGCTAATCACAGTTTGATATGTGTGTAGAGATTTTTCTTTTTTGTGTTTTTGATAAATTATTTTCGTATATACGTTAAGATGTGATTTGCAGGAAGTAGGAATGTCCCCAACATAAGTAACGAATTTTCACTATAACATGTTCGAGTCAACAAATGAATGAATGAATTTCAATATACATACATACATACATATGAGATAATAAGATAACTTTACAAATAAATAATTTGTTTATAAAACTAAACACACATTTCCACACAATTGGGAATTGAATTAAGTCTTAGTAGAAAATGCTTTCTTCTTGAAGCTGGTTGGGGCTGATCTTATCCAAGCTTTGCCATCGATGGAGTCCTTGGTTAAGAAGGGTGCAGCTTCTTCACTCGTAAGGTTACGTGCCCATTCAACTCTTTTTGATGTTGCAGCTCCAGCTCCAGAACATCTATATTGCCCATAGTAAACCGTACTATGTACGTACACATCATCAAATTAAAACCAAATTAGGAAGAGTGAGTTCGTTTGAGTAAGAAATTAAGGATTAATTAAAACCGTAACTAAAAACAAAAATAAAAATACCTTTGGTCGAGTGAGTTTCCCCAGTCGTCCCAACCTTGTGGAAGTATGGCATTGGACATGTAAGTGAAGGCAAAGACGACTCTTGAATAGCCACCCCACGGTCTTCCTAACACTGCCGTTTTGACGCCACTGATTTTGCAGCTGAAGAAGGTGAACCCTGTGTCCTCCGAAGGGGACATCCTTCGTTGAGCTGTTATGGCTCCTGCTCCTCCCGAAATTGAATGCAAATGACACCTCTGCAAATTTAATTTAAACGAAATTATATACTAATCCTTTACCAAATTAACTCCAAATATATATATATATATATATTGTTAATTACCTCAAAAAAAGAAGCAGCATTTCCACATATAAAATCAGTAGCTCCTTCAATATAACAGCTGTTGTAGTAGTGTCTGCCGGTATCGTCAAGTAGGGTGTCCTGATAAGACAATATTCTGCACCCATAAAATGCTGCTCTATCTCCCGACACCCTTAGCGCCACTGCTTTGCCAACCGCTCCATAAGTGTTCTGCAATGAATATTGAACAATTAAACATTATTAGATTCAATATAAAAAATTCCTTCGTGTCGTCGATGTTACCAAGAAAAAAAAAAGACTATCTGATATAATTTCATACAACAACATGAGCATGCGTTTTAAATATACCTGAATTGTGAGATACCGGCCTATAAAATCAGAAGCCAAAACAGAGAAAGTTGGAGATTCAAATATATCTCCACCGTCGTTCCATGTTATTATGGTGTCGTTTGCCTTGGTGCCACTTACTGTAATGAAGGGTTTGTCAGCGGGCACACTAATTTTTTCTTCGTACACTCCAGGCCTAACCCTAATAAACACAAGATCCACGTTATTAATCGGCACGGCATCAATGGCATCTTGTATTTTCTTGTAATCTCCTTTGCCCGACTGATCAACCGTGATGAGAATTGCTGTTGACCCCTGGGTTGTGTCTGCTTCTGCTTGAGAAAAAGCCACAAAAGCATGCAATATTATGGCAAAGAAGCACTTGATCATCATCGTGGTCGCCATTAGAGACTATATCTGCTTTGATCAAAAGGTGTATGAAAATTAATTATCTCTGCGTAGATAGGTCGATAATTAATTATAGAATGAATGAATGAATGAATGGATGAATTGAAGAATATGGTTGCTCCTGATTATATAGGTGAATGCCAAGGAAGGTGGCCGTTTCCTTGGCAATAAAGTCTGATGAATTAGAACCACTTTTACAAGGAACGAGTGGAGGCCAGGAGGAGGAAGATAATTACAAGGAATTTCCACGGCCAGTGATAGAAGAAGTAAGCCGGCAGCAGGAGATTTTTACTTGAGACTGAAGAAACAAATGTTTGAAAAAAAAAGGAGTGAGGTGGTGAAGTTGATCAGATAATATATATATATAAACAGTAATATGAAAATCTTATAATGGCGGCGTATTGAATTATTGATGTTACACAAGTCTTGAGGTAGCTTAAGACGTAGATTAAGTAGGTCATTTGTGTGAAATTTTATTGTTAATGGCACATTACGTTATTGAGCGAGCAGGCGGCTCAGTTGCCGCCGCCTAAAAATATTAGGGCTATATGGAACTGGTCTAATTCATAATTCTCATAATCGCAACGAATGAAACTTGACCAAGTCAGTTCCTAAACCTGTTGAGTTTATTAAAAAAAGGGCTTTACAAAAAAGTTTGTACAAATCCATTGAATATAAGAATCTTCGTATAACTATAGGCGCCGCACCCGCTCGAGAACCACTACTCAAAGGTGAGCCCTGCAGCTGAAGCGGGAGCCTGCTCTGGGCTCTTTCTCCCATTCTCTGTCTCTTTGTTTCCGTCTCCTTCTCCTTCTCCTCTTCCAATAGGAGTGGAAGCGGCG